TTTCAACAGTTTAAACTAGTTCTGTTAAGATAAAGTCTTGTTTTTTCAATTCCGATACCAATTTCGATACTATAGCTTTAAGTACTATAGATTTAAAGGGACCGTCTGTCAATTTGTACATATGGCCTCATTTCCTAGTGAGCCAGAGTGTTGGAGACGTGTGGAGACACTTTTTAAAATATTTCATCCAGTCCTTGTATTTGCAGAGGTCCCTGGTGCTAGGCTAGTGCATGTCAATGGCCATAGTTAGCCTGCCGCTAAAAACCCACTCCACGAAGCACCCAAAGAAAATCTATTATTACACCAGACTGTCCATGTAAATGTCTGCGTTGATAGGATAATTTTAGAAGTAAAACCAACCTTGCATTTGAAGGATTTATGGTTGAGCAGCAGTAGTGAGTTGTATTTAGTGGTAAAAAGCTTGGCAGCGGCGGACTGATATATGAGAAAATAGTCCTTCAATATGCGACAATTCATGCGATGCAAGGTTAGTTTTATTTCAAACATTAAATAAAGACATTAACATCAACAGTCTGGCCTAATAATAGGCTTGCTGCACATGTTTTGTTTAGTGGGTAAGACTGTTTATAGTGGCAGGATAACTATGGCCATTAACATGCACTAGCTTAGCACCAGCAACCTCTGCAAATACAAGGACTGGGTGGAATATTTAAAAAAGTGTCTTCACACATCTTCAACACTCAGGCTCACTAGGAAATGAGGCCCTATGTACAAAATTTTAAACTGTCCCTTTAAATATCTGTCGATCCCCGATATCAGCAGATACCAATGCAGAGACTGAAAACAGCATTTATTTCCTGTAAACAAAATTAAAATAGAACGGATCCAGATGTGTTATGTAGCTGTTATTTAACCCTTGAGTAACTACAGAACAACTTTTCCCAGATATGTCTTATTAAATCAGTATTTGAAAGCCAATATTTGATCTAGCAATTTTTTCAGCGCCAATATCCAAAACCAGTATAAGAGCCCTAGTCAAAATGAGTTACAGTGCCTTTCATATTTCAGTCTTCTTACCCCTGAATGAGTTTAAAATGTGATTTGAAAACATATTTGAATGACTTATGATGATATTAGATTTGTTGGGTAAATTGTGCAGCCCCGGTCACACAGAGGGTAAGCTTTGAGCCCGTTAGCAGAGGGGGGATAGCATGTAGCGCACTTGGAGTGTTAAAAATACCTTTACATAAGTTTGCTCTTTCTGGCAGTAAACACTTTGATCTGAACCTTCTTTAACAACCTGTTCAGAGGTTGGACACTTAATTGTCATCCGAGGGGTTAAATGCATCAAGACCACAGCGTAATCACATAAAAACATCAACCGAAAATCAATGACAACTCCATCAAAAACGTTTGGTCTATCCATACATTTAAAGCTGCACTGTGTAGCTTTTCAGGTGATATAGCCTTTTGTCACCAAGGACATGTTATAGTTTTTGCCAGGTGTTTTCCACAGTATGGTATTACTGTCTATTTCCATCAAGACCAGCAAGGGACGGTCATGTAATAGGTCAGATTTGTGGAGAGGCGAGCCCATCTCACAGGTTTTGCGAGGTGTTTTTGAGCGATAAAAACACATGTAATTGAATGAAGGTAAGATAGATGTTTAATGCTATACTGTGGAACATTCGAGGAAATAATGTTGCCCTATTTTTCATTGGTCTGTGGGCTGTTTTTCTACTGATTTATGTTAAGTAATAAAGAAAATCACTTGTAAATACAATAACATCTCCATGGAAACAAGCAGGTGTCTGACGCTCCAACAAGAAGAAGTACATAGTGCAGCTTTTAAGGTGCACTGTGTAACTTTCCATCAAATGCTTTTCTCCATGGAGATGTTTTTACTTTGCCTGGAATGTTTCACAGTATGGCATTAAACCTTTCTATCTTCATGGAGACCAAACCAGGCCAAGTTAAACCACTTGTAATTGAATAAGTGTAAGGTAGAGCTGTTTAATGTCACACTGTGGAACATGCAAGGCAAAGCAGCATCAGTCCACCTCACTTCACCCAATGAGTTAAACCCTACTTTGTCAACTTTTGATGAAACATGGTATATAGGTAAATCATAGTCAGAAACACCAACATTTCAAATTTTAGTTTGATCAGACCAACGGTTTTGAGATATCGCAATTTCATTTTTTCACTTTTTTGCGTGGTCGCTGAATTTCAAATTGCATTTACTCAGCAACTACTGGTCCGATATCAAAAACTAAGGTATCTCTGGAAAGGGGACATCATATGGAATCCAAATCTGACATTTATTTTTGCATTTGAGTGAATTTTAGACCTATATTTTGACCTTGAAATGGACAATAAGGGACCTCAATGACACCAATAGAAAAAATGTAGCCCTCCATGTCTACTACAACATATACAAAATCTGGAGGGGTGTTCTTTTTTATTTTCACACAAATTTACCTAGAAGATGACTTAACCCCATCTTAAGACATGCCAAATATCCATTCAGTGTATACAGCTGACAATCAAAATTAATATTACCGGACCAGTAGTTGTTGAGTAAATGCAATTTGAAATTCTGCGACCACCCAAAAAAGTGAAAAGATAAAATTGCGATATCTCAACAACCGTTACTCCGATCATGCTAAAAATTGAGATTTGGGCTTTCTTGGCTATGTTTTACCCATACACCAATTTTCTTTGCAATTGGACAATGTGAGGGTTCAAATTAACATTTTTTGGGGGGTGAATTAAGGTGAAATGACCCAGTAATGACATTTCCATAGAAGTAAGTAAATGACGGACGCCCAGAGAGTTACACAGTGCAGCTTTAAAGAAAAAAAAAACAAAAACAACTACTTTGGAAACCTTGCACAGTGCTCTGTTTTAGACATTCCAACTAGTCTTAGCTCACAAACATTATAGTCAATATCACCTATATTCATAAGATTTCTGTACGGTTCTTAAAATAAAACAAAAGTCAGATTTTTTTCTTTCTTTCTCGTCTTTACAAAAGCTACACATTTTCTACTGGGATGTCTAAGCATTTGTTAGTGTTTTAATAATAATAATAATAATAATAATGATAATAATAATAATAATAATTCTACCAGTCTTTCCTTATACAAAAGAGGGGGAGGGGTCTACGCAGCTAGAACACAGGAGCCCCCAATTGAGAACATAGGGGGCAGTTTTACCTTGTCTTTTCCTCGTACAAAGACATGTTTTTGACACAGTTGCTCCTTTCAGTCTTTCAGAGTTGATTGTTTTTCGAGAAATGTTCCTACAACCTCCGAAAATCCGCTCTTTTTGTTAACTGAAAGCATTCGGTGACCTTGTGTTGCCTTGACGACGGCCCATTGTAAACACTTGATTCAACTATTTTGTTTTCATCTTTTTCGAGATGACACACTTTACTGCCAACCGCGTGTCAAGCTACCGCTAATAGCATAACCTCTAAAAACAAATGTAAAGAACTTATGTTATAAAGGAAGAAGCCAGCAAAACGTCAAAACTTAGCAATGTCAAACAACTTAACCTTACTTAAAGTGCGTATGACAGGAATATTTCGTGTTTTTCAAATTATTACTCTGTTTGGTGGGGGAGTACCTGGGGTGAATATTTATCGTAGTTTTATAACAGTTAAATGGCAGTTTGTGGAAAAAAAAGTTAAAAAGAAAAGCGCAAAAATACAGGAAGTAGCGGCATCTAATTATGTCATCAGCACGGACAACTCCTTACAGAATGCAGGGGACAATTTAAGCACAAGAGAGACATTTGTTTTGTCAGTTTAAAGTGAATAAAGAAGGTCATTTAAAGACCTTTTTCACAACGGTCGGAAGTGCTGCGATGTAGGGTAAACATCACTTACGTTAAAGCTTTTCTATTGCAAAATATCTGTGGAAATGTCTGGCGTATTTTCCAGCAGCTTCATAAATCTGCCCCATCACCAAATCTTCATCCAACAAGGTCGACAAAAGACAAATTTTGTCCATGAAGAATTTATCCAAAACTATCAAGGTAAGAAAGACAAAAACGTAAAGGCGAACAACGACGACACATTAGTGAACTACTGAGCAAAACTAATGTTATGGTCATGAATAAAACATAAGTAACTTGTTAACTCAGACTGATTCTAGGATTAATATGAAAATGGATTTCATGATGTAGATATTTGCATAGACAGAGAGATTTGTGCAGTTTACAGATGTTCACAGATTACATGACTCAAATTTAAACTGCACAAATCTCTGTCTATGCTAATATCTACTTCATGAAATTCATTTTTAATTTTAATTCTAATATCAGTCTGAGTTCACAAGTTACTTATTAACGAATTACATATTATTTATGCAAAGATTTGGGATGCAGGAGTGCTACTTGGATATACAAAAAAATGTGCAGAATTGTCCTTGTGGTGCTTTTCAGTGTAGAGACCAGTCTCAGATACAAAGAAGGAAAAAACTGAGGCACTCACAGTCTGTGGGCCAGCCCACTGGGAGCATGTGACCTATACCTATTACTTTAAATCTGCACTGTGATATTCATCTCGAGTTTGCCCTGATGAAGGGCGAAGGGCTGAAACGCGTTGGCGTGATTTTAACTTTATCTGCCATATGATATTAAAGGCTTTTAATTATTTTGTACTTTTTGAGTGCCTCAGTTTTTTCCTACTTTACATATTACTTATGTTTTATTCATGACCATAACATTAGTTTTGCTCAGTAGTTCACTAATGCGCCGTCATTGTTCGCCTTTACGTTTTCGTCTTTCTTACCTTGATAGTTGTGGATAAATTCTTCATGGACAGAATATGTCTTTTGTCGACCTTGTTGGTTGAAGATTTGGTGATGGGGCAGATTTATGAAGCTGCTGGAAAATACGCCAGACATTTCCACAGATATTTTGCATAGAAAAGCTTTAACGTAAGTGATGTTTACCCTACATCGCAGCACTTCTGGCTGTTGTGAAAAAACTCTATTTAGACAAGTTTTGGCCCTCGTTAAAATTATGGTTGCTAGGTAACAGTTATGTGATTACCTCTGTGTAAGTCTTATCAACTGCCCGTGTCCAACAAGGAAGTAAAATTATAAATGTCACACAAATAAAAAATAAAAAAATGAAAAAATAGGCAATAATTTTAGTTAAATCTTAAATATGATTATGTTAACTGTGAAATGAGTAGTCTAATCTGTCATATGCACTTTAAAAATAAAATTATACGTAGTTTTCTTCCATTTGTAACTTCGGAAAATATTTGCCAGAACCCAAAGGCAGTGAGTTTTAGTTGAGGAAATTATCGCCAAGCTAAATTAGCTCTAGCAGTTACGTAAATGATTGACAACTTGGCGACTCCTCAAATTTCTGCCTTTATGGAAGAAACTGGCTTATGCATTCACAGCCATGGTCCGTTCAAGATATGATTCCTAAGAATGCCGTTCGCGTTCCTCTTGTCACTATTTCACGTTAAAATACAAAAAAATGTTCCAGAAATTCTTTAAAAGTAGCATCCTTGATCTTTTGTGCTCTAGTGGTAATAGCCAAATGGCAAAATCTTGATTCAATTCAACCACTTTCTCTTTACAAAGTGGAGAATTAAAAAAAACAACAAAAAAAAACTGCTATCTCCAATACATTTAATCCATTTCTTCATCTTCGTCAACATTGGACATTGGTGCAGGTGATAAACTAGTGGACATTCCTGCATCCTGATCACGTTCAGGGGTATTTTCCGAACTTGTTTCATCCAAATTTTCAACAAAATCTTCTTCTTGGTTGTCATCTTCCATTTCTTTGAAATCCATTCCTGCGTTTTCGGATAATTCGCCATTTGTTGACCACTCTGGTTGGTCCAAACTGCTCATTTTTTTCCATAATCCAGGAGAATCCGGATTTGCATCAAACTGGGAAAACTTGCTGTTACCATCATCGTCTGGAGCAGTGACTGAACTTCTCTTGCGCCGGGACTTACTGGTGTGGTTGACCTGGAGGTGCATCGTCATCAGTTCAGCCGAAGACGTGCGGAAAGGGCAAAAAACGCATTCACTAAGTTTAACGCCGCATTGCTCATTTTCGATTTCGCTAAACGTTACCATCCCGTCTTCTTCTGACCCTCCCAAACCAGGAGAAGTGCGTCTTGACAAATCCAGTGGTTCAAACTTGCCATCTGAAGTAGTTTCGCCATCTTTCGGGGGCTGAACCATTCGACTCGTGGTTAAAGGTTTGCGTCTTGATACTTTGGCCACTTTTGGAGGTGGAGATTCCCGGATCCAGTTGCCCTCCTGGTACAGTGTGCCCATCATACCAGACAGATAGCGATACTGGCTTTCCAAATCCGTGTCTCTCAAAGCAGACATGGCTTTGTGGTGGTCGGCCTGGTCAGGAAGTGCCAGGAGCCCGAACGCCTGCTGATTGGCTGTGGACCTGGAAGTGGGCGTGTCCGCAGTGGTGCGGTTGATCGGTCCGTGGCTTTGCTGAGATCGCCGTTGTTTCACGAGCAAAGAGGTCCCAGAGGAAAGACTGTGGACAGAAGAGTGAGGAGTGAGTCATTTTTACATTTTATTTATTTATTCATTTATATACCGTATTTTTCGGACTATAAGTCGCACTTTTTTCATGGTTTGGGTGGTCCTGCAGCTTATACTCCAGTGCAACTTATATATTAGTCTTGTGTGTCAGTATCTGCTACTCCTATTACTCCTGTACCACTGTCACTTCACGCTCTACTGTGCATGTCTCCTGCAGAAAAAGCCACTGTCCTGCTGCAAGTAGTGAAATATTCAGCTGAAAATGGTAATCGAGCAGCAGAAAGAACATTGAAGTGAGCGAGAAACTTGTGAGGGACTGGGGGAAAGCTTCACTTCAAGGCAACCGGGCGGGTGCACCATGCAACTTTCCTGGAAGTCACTGGATCGACAAAGCCTGGACTTCAGTGACAACTGAAACCATCCTGTTGGGATTCAGAAAGGACGGAATAATTCTAACTGGAACTGATGCTGAGTCTGACGACAGCTACACAGAAGAGGAAGCGGTGGTCCGTTTACATCTGGAGGTCACCGAGTTGCTCCGAAATGACACCGAGGATGAAGAATTCAATGGATTTAGTGATTTGGAGTGAGATGGAGAGTTTGGTAAACTTGTTCTGTTCTGTTGTTTATGCTATAGTTATCTGAAGAACTGTTCATATGTGACGTTAACATACCAGACGCCTATTCAGCTTCTATTCTATTGTTATTACTGTAACTTGCAAGATGAAATGTCAGTTCCTGGTCTCTGATTTCCCCCCAAAAGTGCAACTTATAGTCCAGTGCAACGTATATGTTTTTTTTCGTCTTCATTACACATTTTTTTGGCTGCTGCAGGTTATACTCCGGAGCGACTTATAGTCTGGAAAATATGGTATTTTATTTGATAAGCAGGAGTATCTAGATTGAACAGAACATTTCCTTAAAGCCAGACTAATAAAATACAAAAGAAATTTACACCTATCAGAAAAATTGTAATAATTTCTTATACACGTGAAGTGGATTTTATGCTATAATGTTCTATTACTGTAATAAAAATCACTTTTCCAGTCACTCTATAATTTTGTGCACTATTCATTCACTCCACACTGTGAAGGTAAGTGCTCCATCCTCTGACCACACACACACACGCACACGCACACACACACACGCACACACACACACACACACACACACACACACACACACACAACACTCACACACATGCTAATATAAACTCTATCATGTCTGACCCGTGGTTGTTGAGAGCGGCGCTGAGTCCAGACGAGACGTTGGCGTTGGCGGCGGCTGCGGCGGCGGCGTTCCTCTGCTCGCGGTGGTGCCTCTGCAGGTGGTACTTCAGAGATCCAGACTGAGTCCCAGCGTAGTCACAGTGAGGGCACTTGTACGGACGCTCACCTGAACACAAGAGACACACAATAAATAACAGTGATAAGAACAGTGACGAGGAGGAGGAAAGACCCAAGTAAAGCAGGAGGAAAAAGTTCACATAGCATCACTTTCTAAAATCCCTATAGTTTAAAATTGGTGGTTTTCAAGTTAATCTGCATTTTAACACAATATTATTTGTCTGTAGAATATTGTGAAGCCCAGTAATTGAGTTTATCAGTATCCTGTTTGCTGTTTAACTGTCAGATTGCAGATTTGTTGACCTGGTTTATGGTTAATCTCTCTGTAATTACTATCCACATGAGTCAAAACCTGGCAAAGTTCAGCTACGTCAACATAAATAAAGTCACATTATTGACATACAGTGGACCAGTATAACAGGACCAAAGTAAAGCAGGAGGAAAGAGGCAAATCTAATTGTGACTGTGATTAGATTTGCAATTTGTATGTTTAAAAAGTAGGACTACAAATTGTAAACAACTCCAGGACCATTAACCTGATTTAATTTGTGACTGAAATAAGAACTGCTAAACAAACACAAGATCCCCATGTATTTCCGAACATGTTTGTAGAGACCTATACTACAGGTACAACAAGAATTTTCAACAAAAACACATGATACTTTGTTCTTACAGTAGTAGAGAACATTCTATCCTCTAAATAATTGCAGCCTTTGCTATTTGATGCATGTGCCAACTCGGATTCCCCATTAATTGTGCATATCTGCTCACAAAACGTACATACTTTAAAATATTTTGATACTAAAGAAGAGACTCAATACTACGTTTGAATAAAATAATGGAAAGAAAACACAATCTTTTTTAGAATACAATAGAATGTAAACAGAAAATAACACAGTTTCACAATACAGTTTTAGGCATTTCTGACGTTCAAAACAAAAATAATTTATAATACATGCAGTGAAATTAGAATTTATTTGGTTTTATTGTTGAAAATGGCCGTACCAATACTGATACTGGTGTTGAATATCAGCACAAAACTAAATGGTTTCTATGATACAGATCCAGCCGATATCCTGGGTTGTAATTGGACATAATAAACATATTTACAGACTGATTTTGTCCTTGAACGTCTCATAATGTTTGAACTTTCATCCATATGAAGCTGTTCTGTAGCGATGCAAATGATAAATAACAGTTACATAACACAGCTGGATCTCTTGTGTAGTGAGTTAACTGTATTTTAAGGAAATAAGTGTCATTTTCAGCTCCTATACTGGTGTCCGTTAATATCATGTATCGGCAGGCATTTAAATTCAAAGTATTGATATCAGTATTGAAACTAAAAAAAGCTTTATTGGTGCATCTTTAGCTGTTACATTTACATGCATAACCCGGAGTCAGATTTTTTTTAAACACTTGTATGTGCAGAGAAGCGGGCGGAGAAATGTTTTAGCGCTCAAACCTCAAATGCAGGACAATATAGGATCACTCAAACAAGTACAATCGAATCAAAATATAACTCGGAGTAAGAAAATGATGAGAGAACACTGTTATATCAGGGTTAAAGTCTCATAAAGGGCCCACACTGCACTATTTTCTGGTCTATTGTACAATGTTGTTTCCTCATTAAAAATTGTGTTTGTTTCATTCACACATGTTTAACACACAAACCTGCACATTTAACATGCTACACAGGTCTCCAGGAAGAATAGTTGATAGCTAAGGTCGATTAAAATACAATCAATCAATGAACCTGCCAGGGACTACAGCGCTGGTGCTACAACCTGGTACAATGCATCTCTCCTGTTAAGGTGAATGTAGATTGTGCACTGTCCCTGTCTCAATAAATAAATAAACTAACTAACTTTAGGGTGTGTTCTTCTCTTAAACAGAAAACGCTCTGTTCCACCTTGTGATGTCATGTGGTAATACAGCAAGTGTTCCACTGTGCTTTTAAACTCCATCCATCTTCACTAGAATCATTTGGATTATTTCAGCCCTGGAATTTCTGATCTCTACTGAACAAAAGGTTAAAGGTAGCTGTTAACTTCAGCACTATCACTACATGACATTAGAAGTTGGAACAGAGCTATTTGAGATTTGAGACAGGCTACTAGTAAAGTATTACTCATACACGTGTGAATGAAATACTCCAGGTATGTTTTGATGAGGTAACAACATTATAACATGACTTAAAGCTCACAAGAGTCAAATTTGTGAAATATATAACCTATACAATTTTGATTTATAATGGAGTAATTTGACATATTAAAAAACGTCCCCTTTAAATCAGAAACAGAAAAGATATTTAGTTTATTCCTGAGTTGATCTGTTCTAGCTGCAGTTCTACATTTGAAAGACAGGTGGCAGTATGATATCACTTACAGACACTCCAGGAGGAGGGGGCGCAGGCTCAGGCATCAATATCACAAATTGTATTACATGTGAAAAGCATTAATGAGCCTATTCAGAATAAAATTACCCTCTAAGGAAAATAATTTGATTTGATGCAAGGGGTAGTCTCGAGGGCCTATAAAATGCATATGGAAATGGTGAAAAAAATGACAATATTCTTGCTATAGAGAACAAAACGCGAGATATAAGCCTGGATAATTTTCCGATTGTAATAAGATTTGCAATTTATTTCACATTTTAAACCATGCCCAGGAGCACTGACATTTGAGAGAAGACTGAAATATGAACTGATAAACTAATACAAGAATCCCACATGTTTGTAGACATCTAAACTGCACGGTTAACACATTTTACACAGAATAAGACACGGGGATATTTAGTTTATATTACCTAAATAATTGTAACGTTCACCATTTTGGAGCTATTCAAATCTGAAGGTCCTGTATTACTCAAAACTGGCTCTTGTGAGCTTTAAGCCGTGTTAGAATGTTGTTACCTCCTCAAAAACATACCCGGAGTTGTGTTTTGTTTTATTCACACATGTTTGAGTAATCCTTTATTATTATTATTATTAGTCTTTTTACATCTCCAAAGCTCAAAATGCTCTCTTTCAGTGGTAGTTTTCACCTGTGTTGAACCTTTTGTTCAGTAGAGATCGGCAATTCCAGGGCTGAAATGATCCAAGTGATTCTAGTGAAGGCGTATGGACTTTAAAAACACAATGGAGCACTTCTTGTATTACCACATGGCACAGTGTTTTCTGGTTGAAAAAAGAGCTCAGGAATATGCAGGGTTTGTGTGTTAAACATGTGTGAATGAAACAAAACACAACTCCAGGCATGTTTTTGATAAAGACACATTATAACATAGATCAGAAAATAGTGTAACACATGTCCTTAAAATTTTGACTTGATATTGATAAAGCTGATTTAAATGCATTTTGAATGGCTTTGTAGCTCAAATTAAAGATGTGCTGGGTCAATTTTTTTGTTTCTCCTGGTTTGTTATTACACATGTTTTATTGTGCAAAAATATCATTGGAAAAACATGCAGTCATAGATAATGTCACAGAGTGGAACCTTCCAGGCAGGATCTGTGGAGACAAGCACATGGCCGACCCTCCACCACAAAAGTTACAAATGACACCTTTAAAATTCATTTGAGGTTGCATTACAGCTAAAATAAAGATGTGTTTTGTATATGGTAAATCAGAACTGCAGCCCACTCTATTACAATGTGAAAATGGATAGAAAGTACGGACCATTAACCAAACTGTTTGTGAGCACTGCAGCTAAATTTTAATCTAATTCTCGTTCATTTGTCAACAGTGTTCACAGTGTAACAGGTTCATTAATATTAAATGTGTGTTTTTGTCATGCGTCCCGTTTCTTTCACATTCTTGATTATATGTTTCATTCAAAAATCAGCTATTTTGGTTTAAAAATTAGGTTAAATTGTAGACTGACAGTTGGAGAGGTTGGTGCATATGAGTTTTTATTCTCGCTCCATGTCAGTGTTATATTGATGAATGGCCCCGTAAGTTAATAGGGCGATTGCACAGTCTTCGCTCCCTGGGTAATATTGTCTGAATCTAATTTCAAAACTCTAGATCTTATAGTAACTTGTCATATGTCATTGGAAGAGTCCATATATTGATACTTTGCAGCTGATGTCGTCAACATTCCTTGGAGCCGTGATGCTAACAGTAGGCAATGCCCTGTCTGAAGCTCTGTTACTCCAGTTAGATTTGAAACTTTATTTTGACACAATCTGACCAGAAAGAGCTGGTTTAGTTGAAACTACAAGAGGTGAGCTGATCTGTGCTGTTAAACAAGTCTCTCACACATAAAATTACAGTCACACACCAGCCAACAGTTAAAAAAATCTGTTGTTCAAATCAATTTAGTATTTATTGTGAGTTTTCAGAGTATCTAAAAACTTTTTTGACAGTGTTTGCTAATGTGTGCACCGTGTCTCCATGGTAACTGGTGAACATTACGCCCCTGCACATATATACAGAAGACCCCCAGTGTGACGTTAGTGCAAGTATCAATCCAATGTTGGCAAGTAACTAAATACGTGTATCAAAAATACATATAACAGTATTTGATTTGCATGTATGCAGACATGAATATAGTATCCAAAGTAGTGGTCCAAGAAACTACTCAAGTAAGAGTAACTTTAAGAGTAACTGTCGAGAAGTAACATTGGACATATAATTTGAAGTTTATGCCATTTAAATTACTAATAAAAATTAGAAAAACTAAATTATATCTGAAGGAGCAATGCAAGAAACACAAATGTTCATGTTATGTTTATTATTGTCAACAAAAATCTTTTGTCAGTTGTAGACCAAAACTATAGACTCAGTGGGTGAGGTGTCTTGCCTAAGGACACAGCAATAGCAGACACAATAACAGTGTGCACCTGGTATTCTGTTGGTCTCCCATCCAAGCACTCACCAGGCCCAACCCTCCTTAAATTGTACTTGTACTCTAACCATTTCCACTGCTATTATTAATAACAACACTGTTTTCATCAGTGTAAGCCAATCCCCACATCTGGCTCTTTGTCATCATATTTCTTTCGCAATAAATTACTTTGCGTAGATACGTATTTCATATCATTGCATTTTACCCATAATCCTACAGGACGGTGTAAAATCCGTTTTAGTAACTGAAGTGCAGTACATTTAACACACCCTGAGGCAAGCCACTTAAACTGCAGGTCCCTGTGATATGAGGAGCGGCTATGATTAGCACTGGACACCTCTCTGGGGTCCAACTAGAACCATTAAGAGGATGACTAAATTCTGCTACACTGTACAAAAACACAAGTACAAAGTCTATACATTTAAATGGATTAACTCTAACTATAAATTAAGCAAAATTAACTTTAATTAACTTTCAATTAATATTGTACTTATTATAATGGTTTTCTATAAGTTGTTATCAAATGCTATTTTTTTTTATTTATGTTATGATATGCTTGGAGTTGTGTTTGTTTCATTCACACATGTTTAATTCACAAATCCTGCAAATCCTGCAAATTTAGAGTTCACTCTGTTCCATCTTGTGTCATATGGTAATACAGAAAGTGCTCCACTGTGTTTTCAAACTCCATACACTTTCACTAAAATTGTGGTAAATTTTCACATCTTTATACAGCGATTTTACACCTTGAAGCCACTCAAAACGTTTCACAACAAGGTACCACAAACATTCATACACCAGTGTACACAGAGGTGAGGTGGGTTAGGTGTCTTGCCCAAGGACACAACAACAGCAATAACAGCACTCATCTGTGGGAGCTGGAATCACACCAGTCAACCTGTGGATCAGTGGATCTGACCGCTCAAACAATCAAGTTTTATCTCGAGAACAGGATTCGAACCGCCAACCTTCAGGTCAGTGGACAAACGCTCTACCTACTGCTGCCCATTTGAATGATTTCAGACCTGGAATTGCCCATCTTTACTGAATAAAAGGTAAAAATTATCTGTTAACTTGAAAACTACTGCTTCATGACATCACAATGTGGAACAGAGCTTTGGAGATGTGGACAGTCGAATAATAAAATAATTATTCAAACATGTGTGAATGAAACAAGACACAACTCCAGGTATGTTTTTGATGAGGTAACAGCATTATAACGTGTTTAAAAGCTCACAAGAATCAATTTTGCGTAATATAGAACCTTTAATTTGGACTATGTTACTTTTCTGCTGGAAGATCTGTTTGCTTAAATGTTACACAGAATTGCATTAAACTGATCCATCTAACTTATTTAATTATAGTTTTTAGCACTGCCAATACCTTGACAAATATATTCCTGAGTTGCGTGTGTTATTCTCGTACCTGTGTGCACTCGGAGGTGGACTTTGAGATGGTGAGAGGAGCGAAACGCTTTGCCACAGTAGGGACAGTCCTTGATGCCCCGACCGCGCACTCTCTCCCTGGACACAGACGCCATGGCGGGCACCGCACCGACGCCATTCTCCCCTGAAAGAAAGAAATATATATATATGAAAAAACAAGGTACAACGTAAATACAACAGCTGGAGAAGGATACCCACGAGAGAGGCTATTTCCAACAGAAACAGATGTGAAATAAACAATACTTAACAGTTGAAGGGGGTCACTTTGGCAAAACATGTTTATATCTAAGCCACTGTCACCAGAGGCTAAGCTAAAAAAAAATACTGTAACAAAGTCTAAGAAAGTTTCATTCTCATTTTAAAGAGTGTACAGTAAGAGCCCTCCCGCAGCCTTAGATCCTCAGGCAGGTCCCTGTTAGCTGCTCCAAAGTCCAGGCTCCACACGAAAGGTGATCAAGTCTTTTCAGTCTGGATGCCTCGTCTTTGGAACGACCTGCCTGAGGAGTTAAGACTCACACCATCAGTATCAACTTTTAAATCACTTCTTAAAACCCATTTTTATCAGTTGGCATTCCTTTAACTGGTTTTAGCTTGATATTATTCCTTATTCTTTTAATTCTATTTCTTTTTATTTATTTATTATAATTAGCTGAATTCTTTGCATCATTGTCTGTTTTTGTATTCCTGCTGTATGCTATTTATATGCTTTTTGTATTGTACAGCACTTTGTAAACGTTCTTTATAAAAGTGCTTTATAAATAAATATGTATTATTATTATTATTACAGTATACATTATTCTCAATTGTACCGAGTTATAGCACAGTCAGTGGAGGTAAGCTCCATCTGGAATAAAAAATTGCCCAGCCTAACAAGCCCATCTCTTCTGCTTTTTGTCCGAATGTAGGTCTGGAACCTTCAAACCTCTGTCCTAACCGGGGACGCTCCAAGTACAGTATCAGGTGTCTCTCAAATGCTGAACATATCTCCTCTCCTGTATTCTCAGTCACAACAAAATATACAAGTACAGACCATGCCTTTCTCTAATTGGTCAATTTATCTGTCAGTGACGCTCTGATCTGAAATCATGGAGACATAAAAGAATTCCATATCACTGACACTTCAGCTGGCGTCATCAACATTCCCTGGGGAAGGTAAACCTAACTAGAGGCACTGCCCTGTCTGAAGCCCTGTTACTTGAGTTAGATTTGAATCTGAGTCTTGCTTTAGTACAATCTGTCCATCAAGAGCTGGAACAGATGAGCTGATTTGTGCTGCTGTTGTTTCGTCCCTCTCAAATAACATTATAGCCGCAGGTTAGGTACCATCAGCCAACAGTTTTTCAGTTGCTCTTACCTTTTTTGTTCCTTCAGTTTTCAAACTACCTTAAAACATTTTGGCAGTGTTTGTTATGTGTGATGTCACTGCAAAGTATCAATCACCTTTGTAAAGTCTTTGCTGACAACAAGTGCCCTGGGGAAGACTGACAGAAGAGAGACTGGCAATCTAAAGTCATGATTGATCAATACAAGGAAAATAATTGTCATTTTAATTCTGTTTATATATTGACCAGTCATAATCTACTGTTTCGCTCTTTTAACTCTTTTTGTAATTTACCTTTAAAGTTGGAGATGGTTGAGTGAAATCCAGTTGTCAGTGGCGTTTGTTGACCTCCAAGTTTGGCTTCATGTCTCCCTTCTCCGCTGCTCCCTCGGCTGTGATCCTGGTGCCTGCTCGTCTCACTCATCCCATGTCCTCCTATTCCTCCTCCTATTCCTCCTCCCACTCCTCCTCCGTGACCTTTCCCCATCCCTTCTTCATCATTACCCGATTTCTGTCCTCTCTGAGCGTGCACCCTGGCATGGACCACCACCTGCTGCAGACTTGCGAAGAGTTTTCCACAATCGGGGCATTCCCAAGACCCTCCATTACGCAAAGCACTTCCCGACTCTTCCCTCTGGCTCACTCCTCCGAGGTAACCCCCACGGACTTGATTGGCCTCCCCGATGACAGAGCTGCGTCCTGGGGCTCTCTGACTTCGAGGTTGGGGTCTTGACTGCTGTTGCTGTTGAGCTACAGCGATGCTCCGAGCTACAAGTTGCCACCACGCCGCTTGGTCGTTGGCCTCGGAAATCAAGGTGGGATTTTCGCTATTGCTGGCCTTTCTCTGCTCTGCTCCCTGTCCGCTAATACTGCTACCATTCCCCATTTCTGCCACCTGCGCAACAGCTTGTAGCCTTTCCATACAACTACCCCCGCTACCATCGCTAGGCAACCCCAAATATCCCAAAATGGCAGACTTACTCGGACCCATTCCCAATCTGCTCTCTCTATCAGTTCGCCCCCTGCCTCCTCCGCGTTGAGCAAGAAGCAAACTCGAATACAATGCATTCAGCTGGTTACTTTGAGCGTTTTTAGCTTGTTGTTCAGCGTTAGAAACTGCACCAGGTGAGCCGGACAGCGCAGATTTAAGTCCGAGTTTGTTAAGGTGGACTTTCATGTGATTTTTAAGGAACCACGGCTCTTTGAAACCACGCCCACACACCTGGCATTTGTGATCCAAGGAATCTTTGTGTTTCCGCATGTGTCCCTTCAAGAACCAGGACTGGGTGAAGCGCTGTCCGCAGGTTTCGCATCGGAAAGCAGGCACCGCGGAAGAGTTTGCACCCGTCGCACCTGACGAAGCTACAGTTTGGCTAGGAGCAGGGGTGTGCGAAGGAGTTGGGACAGGCGTTTCCGGGCTCGCTACAATCGGTCTCGACATATATAGAGGTGGAGCTTCACGGATTGGATGACTCTCCTGCAAATGCGATGCTAAAATTTCTTCTTGGCTAGCTGAGAAGGGGCAAAGAGTGCATTTATAGGGGTTGTGGAGGATTCGGACGTGACGCGCCAACTCGGAAGCTGTGCGGAATTTTCCCTTGCAGGCGTGGCATCGGAAAGTGGGCGCAGTTGGAGTTGAAGCACCTTCTCCAATCTGAATAGAGGAATACGGAGAGGTTATGGGATCTTCTGTCAATGGAGGTGTGAGTGCCGTGCTTACATCCAACAGAAAATTTTGATTTGGATCAGGATGCAGACCATCAAATTCCTTGATATCCGACTCATCATCTTGCGTCAAATGGATAATATTAGCTGGCAGTAAGCGCTGGTTTGATTGACTTCTGTGGATTGATTCTTTGAGATTTTGTTTGAGATGTTGTTTTAGAGGTGCAGAAGGCAACCCAGTCCGGTAGATCGCAGACGCCCTCCGGTCCAAAGTGTGCGCCCGAGCGTGGAGCGATAAAATACTCTGAAAACGAAATCTTTTCCCACAAACGTTACACGGAAATCTCAACGCCGGACCTGCGGTAGACGCAGTAACTCCTGGATGAGGTTTGGTCGCGATACTGTCCTTCTGGAAAAGTTGGAGATCCAGTTCGTCTGCGATCTTTTGTCCGGAAGAAAGAGCAACCTCCAGAGCGCCAAAGCCGAGGGGAGGTGCGGACGGAGTGGCCGGGGGAGAGGAGTCCAAGATGGGGCTACGTGCTGCCTCTTGGCCCCCTCCTCCTCCAGGAAACAGAGCCACGGCAGGAGTGGGAGAAGCGGGAACGCCATCCAGGCTTTCTTCGTCATCGTTTTCGGTACAGTCCTGGTGGTTTTCATCCGGGTCGAGGGCGTAGGGGGAGAGAGGGAAGGAGGGGGTGGTGCTGGGGCTTCTGGGGGAGGGCGTAGGGCTCTGCAGAGGTAGGATAGTGGGGCTTTCTGGAGGAGAGGGCTGAGCTTGGGGGCTGTGGTCCAGAGAAGGCAGAGTGGGGGGAGACTGGGGGAGGTCATGGGAGAGAGACAGGAGACACTCTGGCGGAGAATCCATCCTCTGTCAAAACAAAAACAAAAAAAAAACAGTGTTATAAAAAATATGTATAAGGTACCCCCAATGCACGGGGAGAACATGCAAACTCGCCATCTAGGTGCTGTGAGGCGAGAGTAAGTTAAAGATACCTTTGCCTGAAATGTTCCACAGAATAGTATTAAACTTACTTATCAATTAGAAGTGCATTTATTGCAGAAAATATACCGTATTTTCCGGACTATAAGTCACACTTTTTTTCATGGTTTGGGTGGTTCTGGGACTTACACTCCGGTGCGACTTGTATATTCAAATTTTCACACTGACAGCCATGAGAGGCTATTACTCCTGTACCACTGTCATTTGGCTCTACTGCGCATGTCTCCTGCAGAAAAAGCCGTTGTCCTGCTGCAAGTAGTGAAATATTCAGCCGAAAATGGAGCTGCAAAAAGAGTTTGGATTGAGTAAGAAACTTGTGAGGGACTGGTGGAAAGCCAGGATGGAGAACACAGCTTCAAGGCAACCGGGAGGGTGCACCATGCAACTTTCCTGAAGTCACTGGATTGATCGACAAAACCTGGACATCAGTGACAACTGAAACAATCCTGTCATGATTCAGAAAGACCGGAATAATTCTAACTGTTGAGTCTGATGACAGCTACACAGAAGAGGAAGCGGTGGTCCGTTTACCTCTGGAGGTCATGGAGTTGCTTAGAAGTGACAACGAGGGTGAGGATGAAGAATTCAATGGATTTAGTGATTTGGAGTGACATGGAGAGTTTGGTAAACTTGTTCTGTTGTTTATGCTATCGTTATCTGAAGAACTGTTCATATGTGACGTGTTCTCTGTTCTATTATTACTATAACTTGCCTTTCAAGATGAAATGTCGGTTCTTGGCCTCTGATTTTTTCTTCTTCATTAGCATTTTTTGGCTGGTGCAACTTATAATTCGGGGAGCGACTTACAGTCCGAAAAGTACGGTACCTTGAAAAACTTACACTGATACTGACTTGCCTCTCAGTATCAGTATTGAATTTTGCTTCACTTACAAGTTTGAGTAAGTCTTTATTATTAGTCTTTCTACATCACCAAAGCTCAAAATGCACTGTTCCACCTTGTGATGTCATGAAGTGGTAGATTTCAAGTTAGCAGCTAGCTACCTTTGATATTTTGTTCAGTGAGTTTGGCAGTTCCTGGGATAAAATTGTCCAAATGATTCTAGTGAAGGTCTATAGAGCACTTCCTGTATACATGACATCACATGGTGGAACAGAGTGTTCTCTGTTTGAGAGAAGAACTCAGCCTAAATATGCAGAGTTTGTGTTAAACATGTGTGAATAAAGTAAAACACAACTCGAGGTATGTTTGTGATGAGGGAACCGTTTTTACAATAACATAAAATAAATCAGAGGATAGTGTAAAATGGGCCCTTTAAAGGTGACAGGAGAAAAGTAGGTTGTGTACACTCCCCCAGAAAAGTGACATAGTGCAACTTTAAAAACACAAAATCGCTTGTTGCTGTTGTTTTGACAAGGAAACAACATTATGAGGCAATTTAAATATCAAAAAAGTCAGTTTAGCATAATATAGGCGCTTTAAATGTGTGAAAAGGTTAGATTTGCATGAGCCTAATTAGTCTCCCTGTTAAACGACCTTGACCAAGATGGAAGATAGGCAGGAAAAGGCATAATAATAAGCAACGCAATTAGAGTGCTTTTGTTATGGTCCCAAAATAAATAATTACCGTCAGTGTGTGCGATGTTATGCCATTCTTCAGGGGCTCGAATCTGGACGGACACACTGCAGCAGCCTCCTCCTTCAGTCTCCTGCAAAGACAGAAACATAGATTTTAGTTAAGGGGGGTCATATTACGCTCTTCTCTGATCTGTGTTATAATGTTGTTTCCTCGTCACAAACATACCTGGAGTTGTGGTTTGTTTCATTTGCACGTGACACAGAAATCCTGCATATTTAGTTCGCTCAGACAGAAAACACTCCTCCCACCTTGTAATGTTATGTGGTGATAAACTCCTTACACCTTCACTAGAATTAATTGAATTATTTCAGACCTGGAACTGCTAATCTCTACTGAACAAAATGTAGTTGTCGACTTCAAAACTACCACTTCATGACATCACAAGGTGGAAGAGAGCATTTTGAGCAGACTAGGGATGTAACAATAACCAAAATATTGTAATATCGTACTGTCAGAAGTATTACAATAATGGTTTTATAGTAGCAACATCTTATAAACATTGGGAACTACATATCCCATGATTCCTTTCAGTGCAGACAACATGAAGAAATATGTTTTACTTAAATTCTTGGGATTATGATGTAATAATTCGCACCAAAATCTCAAGTTAAAAGCAAAAAAGCGTCTCATCTACAATTACATTAGCCTCTTCAAAATATAAAATATAATAATAAATATCGTACTGTGAGATGCGATGAGGAGAGATATCGTGATACTATCGAACAGAGACATTTGGATATCGTTACATCCCTAAAACAGACTAATAAAAGATTACGCAAACATGTGGGAATGAAACAAAACATGACTCCAGCCAAGCTACAGGTCAGATCTGTGAAAAGGAGACTCTAGTCACAATAAGAAAGCATGATCAAATGACAAGAAAAGTTACATAAATCTATCTTTAAAAACACAATGGAGCTTAATGATATACTTGTTCATATAAATATACAGATTAATTTACAAACTAATTAAAGAGAACACAACTCCACATATTTTCTTAAATGTTTTGAAACTGTATCTTGAACTTTTACAGACTTAAAATAACGAAGCGATAATTATTGCTCTTAATACTGTAATATCTTGCCATTTTGTATTATCTTACCGGAGACACGACCTTAATGATTTGTTTGTGTTTGTTGGTTTGGTAACAGGATGAAACGTCTGACGCTGGGAGGTGGCCTTAAACGCATCGCGCTAATAGCACACAATGATTACAGCTCAATTTGAATATGTTTGAGCAGCGCAGGTACAAAGAAGATTTCTCTTTCCTGTTCAGATGGGCCTCCTTCATGTACATGTGTGTGGACGGAGAATTATAACCATGTGGGGAATAACATCTGTGCCCACACTCGCATCATGTGAACCTGACACAAAAATCAGGTCCTGTCATGTCAATTTTTTTTAATTTTTTATTTTTACTTATGGCTTATTTGACTGCAGTTTCTCGTTATTTTCTGCCACTTATTTTGAATTTATTACTCTCAAGTCTAATTAGATCAACAATATGATTCAGTGTTCAGATTTGGGTTTGAATAGGTTAAAGACGCTATACCACATTATTTTATTTTATTTTTTAATCTGAAAAACAATCTTAAACAGTTTGTAGTGGTCCAAAGTTACTCCTCAGTTACTGTATGCATTCTGTACATCCTAATTATTCACCCCAATGAGTTTATAAGTGCTTTAGACAACTTTCAGACACCAGTGCAGAGTTTTGCTGAGATGGTCACACAATATATCTGTACTGGGGTAGAAACATGTAGAAAAAATATATTTATTTATTTTTACTAATTTTAATATTTAACAAGAACGAAAACAGACTGAAAATATAAAATAAATTTAAAAATCCTCCCGCCTGGGCAGGCAAAATGAGCTCAAATACATGGAAACAAATGAAGTACAGGCCCTTTAAAATCCCTGTATCATTCGTTGATTTGTTTTTCAAAATAAAACCAAAAATGAGAAAATGAAAAACAACTATTTTCTTCATTATTTGAGTCCAAAATCATAAAAACTGATAGTGATTGTTTTTTCAGTTTTCGATTTTGTGTTTAAATGAATAATGGATGGTTTCCCGTTTATGTGACTTAAACTGCGATGCCGGACTGAACCAAACTGAACCAGGACTAAAGTGGTCTGGTCCAGGTCTCAGTCCCAGTCTCAATCATGGTCTGGTTCCAGTCTGGTCCTGGTCTCGGTCCTGGTCTCAGTCCCGGTCTGGTCCCAGTCTAGTCCCAGTCTCAATCCTGGTCTTAGTTCTGGTCTCAGTCTCAGTCCCGGTCCCGGTCTGGTCCCAGTCTCAATCACGGTCTCCTCCTGGTCTGGTCCCCATCTCAGTCCTGTCCTTTTCCCGGGTCTCAGTCCCAGTCTGGTCCAAGTCTCAGTTCCAGTCTCAGTCCTGGTTTAGACCTGATTCAGTCCTGTTTTAGTCCATATGCAGCCATGCAGTTTAAGTCACGGAAACAGGAAATTGTCATTATCCGTTTTTTTCATTATTCATTTAAACAAAAAAATCGAAAAATTAAAAAATTAATCATTATCTGTTTTTTTTTTATTTTGGTTTTAGAGACAAATAAAGAAGAAAATAATTGTTTTTTGGTTTTCTTATTTTTGGTTTTATCTTGAAAAACAAATGAATGAATGACACACGGCTTGTTTAATGTTAGTGTTTAGTTTAAGGATAATGAAGTAGTGATCATGGTTAAGGTTTAGGATCATTCTGCAGGAAATGAACGTTTATGTAACGCCCGCACAAAGCACGGAAAC